CGGGCAGGGGCGACGAGGCCGGGCGGGGGCGACAGGGCCGGGCCGGTGCGACGGGGCCGGGCCGGTGCGACAGGGCCGGGCCGGTGCGACGGTGCCGGGCGGGGGCGACGGGGCCGGGCCGGTGCGACGGGGCCGGGCGGGCGCGACGGGGCCGGGCTGGTGCGACGGGGCCGGGCGGGTGCGACGGGGCCGGGCAGGGTGCGACGGGGCCGGGCGGGTGCGACGGGGCCGGGCGAGCAGGACGGGGCCGGGCTGGTGCGACGGGGCCGGGCGAGCGCGACGGGGGGGGCCCAGGAGGGGCGCTGCAGGGGCCCAGGAGGGGCGCGACGAGGCCCAGGAGGGGCGCTACGGGGCCCAGGAGGGGCGCGACGGGGCCCAGGAGGGGCGCTACGGGGCCTGGGAGGGGCGCGACGGGGCCCAGGAGGGGCGCTACGGGGCCTGGGAGGGGCGCGACGGGGCCCAGGAGGGGCGCTACGGGGCCCAGGAGGGGCGCGACGGGGCCCAGGAGGGGCGCTACGGGGCCTGGGAGGGGCGCTACGGGGCCCAGGAGGGGCGCGACGGGGCCTGGGAGGGGCGCGACGGGACCCAGGAGGGGCGGTACGGGGCCCAGGAGGGGCGCTACGGGGCCCAGGAGAGGCGCGACGGGGCCTGGGAGGGGCGCGACGGGGCCTAGGAGGGGCGCTACGGGGCCTGGGAGGGGCGCAACGGGGCCCAGGAGGGGCGCTACGGGGCCTGGGAGGGGCGCGACGGGGCCCAGGAGGGGCGCTACGAGGCCTGGGAGGGGCGCTACGGGGCCCATGAGGGGCGCGACGAGGCCCAGGAGGGGCGTTACGGGGCCTAGGAAGAGCGCGACGGGGCCCAGGAGGGGCGCTACGGGGCGGGCGCGACGGGACCTGGGAGGGGCGCGACGGGACCCAGGAGGGGCGCTACGGGGCCCAGGAGGGGCGCGACGGGGCCCAGGAGGGGCGCTACGGGGCCTGGGAGGGGCGCGACGGGGCCCAGGAGGGGCGTTACGGGGCCTAGGAGGAGCGCGACGGGGCCCACGAGGGGCGAGCGGAAGTGGTAGGTGGGGGGGGGGGGATGCTACCTACGCGTGATACCATAACAGAAATTGAATAAGTGAATAATGTTAGAGAGAGGGTACAAACAGATATACCTAAGTGTTGTACCCTCTAAAAGGCTACCCTATACAGTCTATACAAACATGACAAATACACATGTTTGACATAGCGTTACTCTGTCGGAATCACTCCACACTTTACAAGCGCTCTCGCTTTAGCATTCCTTCAATGTTAAGCCCGAGGAACTGTGTGACTGTAGGAGCGATAGTAATCTGTAGATTCTGTTGGAGTTTCTGTTCGAAGATAGTAGCGAGAAAATCGGTAGTGCTGATGTAAAGTGGGTCGTCGATGTAAGCGACGAGTAGAATGTAGTCAGTACAGTCGGTAAGCAGATACATTCCCTGGTTGTGTGGAAGCTGACAAAACCCGGCAGTTAATAACTGATAATGTAGATACTGCAGCCATAGTCGTGGAGCATGTTTGATGCCGTAGAGAGACTTTATGAGACGGCATACGCTGGGAGGATAAGTTTGGAAGGATTAGTTTGGAGGATTAGTTTGGGAGGATTAGTTTGGTATTCAACCAGAATAAAGGCGTCGATGGGGGCACATAAAAATGCATTGGCGACGTCGATTTGTCGAAGTCTGAAATTCTGGTAGGTCGCGATACAGAGGAGAATTCAGTCACTAGCGTGTCTGCCGATGGGAGCGAAAGTTAATTCGTAGTCGAGTCCAAAAGTTTGCTCGATGTCGCGGACGACCCATCGCGCCTTGATTTTTTCAAAAGAACCATCGGCGTTTGCCTTCACGCGGAAAACCCATTTTCCGGTAAGAATCTTATTCTCCTTTGTTGCTTTCAACGGGATTAAATCACAGGTACCTCTTTTTTCCAAAGCTGCTTACTCTCGGTCCATGGCTTCGCGCCATTTTTCTCGGTGTTGACTTGTCAAAGCTTGACGAACTGTTTTCGGCTCCAAAATATCACTTCTGTTTGCTTGTATTGCGGCTGCAAGTCCCAATCAACATCAACAGTTCCAATTTTTGCAACAGCAGCAACAAGCGCAACAACAGCTTCAGCAACACCACCAAAATCAACAGCAACAATAGCAACGATGGTCCAGTCATGATTGGCGATAGTCTTGATTCCAGACAGCTCTCAGGAGACTAAGTATAGAATCTATACTATGAAAGAGCTGCAGCTGAAAGAATTTATACCCATGGCGGTGCGGCTGCAGCTCTTGCATAGCTGGAGCCATCGATACCCATGAAAGAGCTGCAGCTCTCATGACTGCAGCAGCCATTGATACCCTTAGCCATCTATACTATGAAAGAATTTGAAAGGTGGTGCAGGAGACTAAGTATAGAATCTGCAGACACAAGTACTTGAAGTAGAAAGTACTACTGGAAGTACTTCCAGTAATAGCTAGTATTAACAAGTTGTAACACCAGAGTCAGTGTTAACAACCTTGTGATACTTCAAGACTTAACCAAGGATCTTTGCTGGAATGGTAGACTATTAAGACAGCGGAAGTCTTAGAACTTGTAAAGTGTTGACCAGAATTTACTAAAGAACAAGTTAACAATTGAAGTTGTACAAGCTACCTGTATATCTGCTAGAAGTACCTATGCGGTAATGTACCTGTTCAAAACTATTTGCGCTATGCGCTCTAACCGTTACTGAAAAGAGCGCGACTATTCGCGTGACTGAAACGGCCTGCTGACGTAATCATCCAGATAAGCGCTATTTGCTGACGTCATTCTACGGATGCTAACTACAAGATAACTCGACAATATTTATCGGAACTACTTACAGAAATGCTTAAGTACGATTTTGTCACAACACAGTAGAGGGGACAACCCCCCCTTCTTGTATCTCTCTCTCATCCCTAGTGACTCTCTTTTCTCTCGTCAATTCTCTTCTCTAGTTAAAACTTCTCGCCCTTTCATGGCTGCCTAGCATCTAAGCTTCTTAACATGGTTTCAGAGCAGGAGGTCCGTCCTACTCGGCCATCTCATCACGCTTCCGCAGTGTACTCTCCCACCTCCCGTCACTTTCGCGCCGCCGTGGCGGCCATGTCGTGCTGCCATGGCAACTTCGTCGTGCTGCCGTGGCAGTCTCGATGTGCTGCCGTGGCGTCAACACCACGCCGTGGCGGCTACGTCGTGCTGCCCTGGCGGTGTCGAAGCGCCAGCGCATGGGCAGCAGCGGGCTGCGCACTGTTGTAGGCACCAGCCATGACGCCCGCACGCCAGCCAGTGCGCCAGTCACGGGCGCCTTGCTGAAGCACTCCCCCCCCTCCCCCCCTTAACAGAGTGCTTGATAGCACGAAGAAAGTTTGAGTGAACCCTTGTAGAGGTATGTGAGAACCTAAGTTGGGCTCTAACGCTATTTTGGGTTGCGTTAGCGTTACGTAACGCGTTAACTAACGTTAACGCTAACAAACGTTAACGAACGTGCCCTACTAACGCTGGGCAGGTTGAAGAATTTTCCCGGGAAAAAAAATTGTGAGAGATTTTGGCCTTGAATGGAAAGCCGCGAACCTGACTGTGCCCATGGCTGGAAAGGTTTACTTCGCGGTTGTACCAGGGAGGGACTAAGCTTATGTTTGGGAGAAATCATAGCATATGAGCAGTTTAGTCAACTGAAATTCTGGTAGTAGCTAGCGTCTAGTCTGCACGGAAGTTTGGCGACTGTTGCGGAAGTATGACGCGACTGAGGTAGGTGAAGGAATTCGTCGAGGAAGAAGTGGGGAAGGGAATTGAGGGGTAGGCGTGGTGTGTACGGGAAATTGGGTTGACCGTGGGGGTGGAAATCCAACGACCAATTGGATTCGCCGAAAATCAGCCACTCCCCTGCTACACCCAAATTCGTCGTCACAAAACGTGTGTGGGACGAAATGTGACGCGGGAACCTTGTTTCCACGTCAAATTCCATCCCATGCGAATTACGTGAGGGGAAATTGTTGGGTGACGTGTGCGGAACGGAAATTCGATGCGGAAAGCGATCCGCGCTGAATTCCGTCCCTTACACCTCACGATTTTGACATGTCCGTCAAAATCAGATATAGCTTCGGGAATTTGTGCACGAATTCACAAGCTCTCTCGCCACGCTTTGGGAATCTGTCGAGCAGAACTCCAGAGCAACCAACCCGCAGGGCTTTTCCTCTTCCCGCTAATCGCTATGGCATCCAGTGGGGACCATGCTGTGTGGAAATACTTTATAGTTCCGGAAGGCAAGCATTCAAATGCTAGAGAACTTGCACATTTTGCAACAAGTCGTGGTCCCTTACCGTGAGCCGCGCGCAGTCTCACCTTCTTGGAGACCACAAGGGGATCGCCCCATGCAAGAAAGTGACACCTGAGGTGCGAGAAACTGTGCGCAACGCAGCAGCTAGGAAGGTGGAGAACCAGAAGGCGGTGCAGGCCGCTAGCGCACGACGATGGAGGCATTCACTAAGAATGTTAGTGAAGTCATTGGAAACAACACGGGTACCATTCTGGTGCGTAAGCGGGCTGCTGGGCAGAAAACAATTGAAGAATGCCGCTCTAAACCTTCAGATTTGACGAGCACGCAGCAGGCGGTGGCGACTTTCTTTCACGTTTGCCGCGTTCCTCCTAATGTTGCGCATGACGCATTCAAGAGCATGCTGAGGAAGGTAGCTATTGCGGGCCCCGGTTTTAATCCGCGTGGGCAGAAACTAATCATGGGGCGCTTGCTCCAAGAGTGCAAATCCACCACCGACGACGCCCTGAAACCAATCAAGGACTCGTGGGAAGGGATCAGGGTATCTGTTGCAAGTGACGGTTGGACAGACGGGTTGAGTCGGCCGTAGATGAACTTCCTGGCAGTAAACACTCTAGGCGCTGTCTTCCTGTTCGGCGTCAACTGTGGAACGACGAAGAAAGGTGGTAAATTTATCGCATTTCAACTCATGAAGGCGATCGCAATGGTTGGTGCGGCTAATGTGGTTGGCCTCTTGATGGATGGGGCAAGTCCCAACATCAAAGCTGCCAAGATTGTAAATGAGGAATACCCCAAGGTGGTGTACGTCCGTTGTGCTGCCCATACGCTCAACAATGTGATGAAAGACATTGGGGGGCGGAAATGGGCTGCCAGGGTGATTGTCAAGGTGCAGGAGCTGATCTCGTCACTAAAGAATGCGCAGTGGATTACCGGATTCTTTCGGGAGCAGGATTCACTCGTCCTACTCAAGCCAGCCGGAACCCGCCTCGGGACGAACTACATAGTGCTGAAGTGTCTTCTGGATGTGCGGTTAGTGTTGGCTCAGATGGTTCTCACGCCGGGGTGGGCCGCATCCTCACAAGGCAAGCCGAAGATGGATGCGGCTCGTAAAACGATAAAAGTGACAACTTTTGGAAAGGGGTGGAGAAAGTGGTGAAGTTTTTTGAGCCGATGTGCTTGATGCTACGAAAGGTGGATGGGAACCAAGAGGTGATGGGGAAATTTTATGAGATGATGCTGGATCTTGAAGACGAGGTGAAGAAGGGTTGTAGCTGTGTCAAAGCCAAGGAAAGGGTCTAGATTCTGCAAGCTGTGCACGCACGCTGGGAGAAGGACATTAATTGTACCCACCCAACCAGTACAAGAAGACTGTGGGAGGAGAGGGCGAGTGCGATGGATTGTTCAAGCAGTTCATAGCAAAATTACTACCATGGGGAGTACGTGGTTGATAGGGATGGTGTGCGACATCCCATGGCAACCATTGTGGAGAAGGAGGTGTTGGTCTACATCAAAGGCGAGGGGGCAGTTGGTGGGGCTAAGGCACGCGCCGAGCTTGAGCTGATGAAGTGTGGGAAGCTGGATCCCGCACATTGGTGGGAGTTTAATGGACAACAGTGTCCAAATCTCAGGAAGCTTGCATGCAAAATCCTAAAGCAATGCGTTTCAGCATCCTCCTGCGAAACCAATTGGGGCGTATGGGAGTCTATCCATACCACACGCCGAAACCGCTTGGGACCAAAACGCCTGGCTGACCTTGTGTATGTGACGCACAACTTCAACACCGTCCGTAAGCTCAACGAGGATTTTGAGAAACGAATGATGGTGGCTGGACACTCCTCTATTCAGACCGAGGAGGCAGAGCGTGACGACTACGAGCCACTTGATGACGATGACATTCCCGATGCAGCATATGCCGGGGGTGAGGAAGACCATGAAGATGATAAGGATGATATGGATGAGTTGGAGGAGGAGAAGGAGGAAGAGGGAGAAAAGGAAGAGGAGGAAGAGGTGAAAGAGGAGGAGGAGGAGGAGGAGGAGGAGGAGGAGGAGGAGGAGGAGGAGGAGGAGGAGGAGGAGGAGGAGGAGGAGGAGGAGGAGGAGGAGAATGAGGAGGAGGAGGAGGAGGATGAGGAGTAGGAAGAGGAGGAGGTGGATGGATGAATAGGGCAATGTCTTTTGATTAGTTGTCAGGGGAATTTGAAATGATGATACCTTGAGTAGTTTCTTGTTCTTAGTGGAAATCTTGCTGCCCAGTCCGCAAAATGGTGCTCACTATCTTTTCGCTGGTTTTTTTTGTTTGGGCAGCCAGGGAAATTTTTATGGCTGACCGTAAACGTTAGCCCAAAACCAGACAACGTACGTGAATGTAAAAATGATACGTAAACGTTCGTAAACGTTAGTCAACGTAAACGTTAAGTCCAACTTAGGTGAGAAAAAATGATTAATTATAGTAAAGGGATACACGTGTCAACTTATATATTATATATATATTTTTTTGTGTAGGCTTGGTAGGTTTTCTACAATCCTGGATCCTACTGTAGAGAGGACAACCCCCCTGTTTGTACCTCTCCCTCTTTCCTATTTCCCCCTCTCTTTTCTCTCGCTAAACTTATTGCTACCTAGCTAAGCCCTCTCGAAACATGGTTGAAGAGCAGGATGATCCTGCTGAGCCTTCTCATCACGCTTCCGCAGCGTACTCTCTCCCCTCCTCTGACTATCGCGTCGCCGTGGCGGCCTCGTCATGCGTCGCCATGGCGGCCTCGATGCGTTGTCGTGGCGGCTTCGACGTGCTGCCGCGGCGTCGACACGCTGCCATGGCGGCTTCGTCGTGCTGCCGTGGCGGCTTCGACGTGCCAGCGCACGGACGGCATCGGCCAATGCACTGTTTTGTTCCCGACAGCACGCCCGCACGCTAGCCAGTCCACCATCCAGGGAGCCTCGCTAATGCCATGCCCCCTCCCCTTCGTCTCCCCTCATCCCAGCCGCAGATGATGGCCCCCTTCCCCGCCGGGCCGAGCCACGCCGCCGGGTGCCACTGGCTTCGCAGTCGCCACTGCCATCGCCGAAGCCGCTGCCGCCGCTGCAGGAGCCGCAGGCTTCACAGTCGCCGCCACCGCTGTCGTCGTCGTAGCCGCCGCTGACGCCGCCGATGTCGCCATCTCGCACGCTGAAGGGCAGAAGCCACAGCTGATGCAGGTCATGGGGGTGCAAGGGCTTGGGGGTCTTGCGTGTGTGGTGTGCTAGTGCCTACCAAGCCTAGGGGGTGTGTCAACTTATATATATTATATATTTATTTGTGTAGGCTTGGTAGGTTTTCTAAAATTCTGGATCCTACTGTAGAGAGGACAACCCCCCTTCTTGTACCTCCCTCTCTTTCCTAGTTCCCCCTCTCTTTTCTCGCACTAAACTTCTCGCTACCTAGCTAAACCCTCTCGAAACAACAAGGTCTTATATAATAATACAAGAGAACACTAAATTTCTAACTAACTGTGCACTTCGAGAGGTACATTCCGTTAACGACTTGATAAAAGCGACTCGGGTAACCACACACACTGCAATACCTGGATGCTTGTCTTTCCTTGCTGTCACGCTGACTTCGACTCTTGTACTTACTACTGTTGGGTTGCATGGTCAACAGTCTGCGACCGTTGCCCTTTCGTAACCTCCGTGAGGTGTTATCAACCTGCGTCAACCATCGGAGGTACTATAGCAGGTTTTGACTCGGCAGTCCTCGATGTTGTAGACTTCGCGTATTTGTTATAGCACGTGAGACTCCTGAAATGCCTTAAGTATTTTTATCATTTCCAACACCCTCCTTCATTTTTGGAGTGTCGATGTGGTCGAGTTTGCTGACGTGTTGCAGTCCACTCAGCAGCATGCAGTACTGGAACTTCACCTTCGTCAGCTTCTTGGTCAAGTATTTGGCTGCCATTTCAGTAGTGGGGCAGTAGGCCAGTTGAAGACGTCCCTGCTCGATCTCGTCTTTCATGAAGAAGTAGTAAAGCGAGATGTGCTTCATCCTGTTTGTGAAGCCGTTTTTGTTGGCGATCCTGATCGCTAATTGGTTGTCACAGAAGAGGGAGAAGCTTGGTAATTCGGCGATCTTCGCTTCTTCAGGCAGCTCGCGCAAGTAAAGTCCTTCCTTTGTGGCTGTGCAGGGGGCGATATATTCAGCTTCAGAAGATGAGATGGCGATTAGTTCTTGTTTTTCGGAGTGCCAGGACATAGTGCCAATAGGCTCTAGGCGGTAGATGTAGCTGGTGCGGGAGCGCCTGTTGTCTTTGTCGCCGGCGTGATCAGCGCCGACATAGCCGATGAGCTTCGTCTTAGTGGTAGCGTTCTTGTGATAGGTGAGGCCAATCGTCGGGGTCGAGATGAAGTAAAGTAGCGCGTGATCGAGTTCCTCAAGATTCCCCCTCTTCAAGTCGATTAAGGTACGTGGCGAGCTGACTAGCGGCGTAGGAGAGATCAGGGCGGCAGGTGACGGTGGCAAAGAGCAGACAACCCAGTTAATGCTAGTATTCTTGGATGCTGGTGAATAGCGAAGAGGACAGTGCAGAAGCCGACGACAGTGCAGAAGCCGGGTACAGATTGGTGAGAGGCAGCGGAGATAGGTCGAACCACCGAGCGATGTTCTGGGCATACTTTGACACTGTGAGATGGATGTTGTCGGGGCTGTCGGTGATGTTGAGGCCTAGGTACTGCGTTATGGTACGCGACAACGTGAGGGTGAGCTGCAGCTGCAGCTGCCCTTCAAACCAGACGAGGATAGAGGTAGTGGAGCCAATCTAGAGGAGATCGTCGACGTAGACGATCAGGAGCACGTAGTCGCCGCTGTGGGAGAGCCGATACATGCCCTGGTCATGGGCCAGATGGGCGAATCCTATGGCGGTGAGGATGCGGTGCAGGTACTGATCCCACAGCCGCTGAGCCTGCTTGATCCCGTAAAGGGATTTTATGAGCTGGCACAGTAGTATGGGGTTGTCGACGTACGCGTGGGGCTGCTCAACGAAGATATCAACATCGACCGGGGCGTAGAGGAATGCGGCGGCGACATCGATTTGTCGTAGACGAAGCTTCCGAGCGGCGGCCACGACGAGCAGAATTCGCAGGGATGTGTGACGGCTGACCGGGGCGAAGGTCTCAGTATAGTCGCGTAAGTGCTGCTGGTCGAAGCCATGCACCAACCAGCGCCTTGAAGTGGTCGACTGTCCATCTGCCTTGGTCTTTACTCGAAAAAACCATTTTCCAAAGAGAATGGTTTCCCCCTTCTGAGAGATGGGGATCAGTTTCCAGGTATTCCTCTCGTGCAATACTGCTAACGCTCTGTCCTCCGCTCCCTTTCCCCAATTCCCCCTTTCCCTTTCCCCCTGCCCTCCTCTCCCGTTCCCCCTGCCCTCCTCTCCCTTTCCCCCTCTCCTCCTCTCCCGTTCCCCCTGCCCTCCTCTCCCTTTCCCCCTCTAATCCTATCCCTTCCCTCCTGTCCCCCTTTCCTTTCCCACCTATCCTCCTCTCCTTTTCCCCCCTGTCCCCTTTTCCTCCCCCCCTGACCTCCTCTCCAGTTCCCCCAGTCGTCCTATCTGCTCAACCCACCCAAGCCCTCCTTTTCTCCCTATCCTCCCCTCCTTTTCCCCCTATCCTCCTCTCCCTCTCCCCATGTCCTCCTCTCAGTTTAACCCTCTCACACTCATCCTTTCTCAATCTCCCCCCCTTCCTTTTCCTACTGTCTTCCTCTCCCTTTCTCCCTTTCCCCGTCTCCCTTTCCCCAGCTCCTCCCCTCCCTTTAAATCTTGTCCTCTGCTCCCTTTACCCAACTCCCCCTTTCCATTTCCCCCTGCCCTCCTCTCCCTTTCCCCCTGTCCTCCTGTCCCATTCCCCCTTTCCTCTTCTCCCTTTTCCCCTGTCCTCCTATCCTTCCCACCCCCTCCACCTCTCCCTGTCCCCCTCTCCTCCCCTCCCTTTACCCCTCTCCTTCCCTCCATTTCCCCCTGTCCTCCTCTCCTTTTCCTCCTGTCCTCCTCTCCCATTCCGCATGTCCTCCTCTCCATTTCCCCCTATTCTCCTCTCCCTTGACCCCTGTCCTCCTTTCAGTTAAGCCCCCTAACCCCCGCACTTTCCGCAATCCCTCCCTTCCACTCTGGCCTCCTCTCATGGGATGTGCATCTAAAAAATGAAAGGGTGGGTGACGTATGTTGGGGAACCTCACCTTTCCGTGACGTATGTTCGCGGGATGTGGGAGGCACGTGTGGGGGTAGGTTTGTCATATGTTTTGGGGATCTTTGACTCTCCCGTATGTTTCGCTGGTTGTGCAGTTCGAGTCCCAACCTGGTGCGTCGATTCGCGTATTGGTCGATACTCAGTGACCAATCCGAGGCTGGAATTGAATTCCGAGCCTTGCGCATCCAACAGGCTACCCGTTGCTGGTTTTGAGTTCGCCCCTGCTAACTGTCTCCGTGTGCATACCTGGAATGTGGAACACGAAATGCGGTTACTCGACTTGCGTATATACGAATGGGTGGTGTTGTTGTATTCCCTTTTGATTCAACACATTTTTCAATCCTTGGTAAAAGTACCGTGACACGAACCAGCTTACAGCCACACCAAATGCGCCTCTTTGTTAGGGTTTGCAATATGATACATTTAAGACCTTATATTTGCAGTTTCGTTCCACCTTCTCATGTGACCCCGCCGCTAATATTTCGTGGGAGCGCTATTTTGACTCCGTGTCATTGTTTCAAGTCTGTCCATGAGGAGTCATTGGTTATGAAGAGTTAACATGGGTCAACTAGAATTTATGTTGGACGATATACATTTATGTACAGAATGTACAAAAGTTTGATGACAATCATCGATTACGCAACACCGAACTTGTTTAGGAATGACAGGGAGCGGCGCTTGAACGAGCGAACCACATGCAGAGTTCTAATTATTGATTTTGCCTCCACCAGTTGGTGCTTCAGATCTCTCTGCACCTCGTGCAGGAGCGTGCAAGATGTGGAGCTGTCTATTTCTCCGGCCTCGTAGTATCGAACGAATGCGTAGGGCAGTTGCTGCACATCCCCATTGATAATGACCTCCACGTGAAATAGAAGCATAAGTTGTGCCTACCAGGTCATGAAGATTTCCTCACCTAGATGCCCATCCTCTTTCCCAATGATTGACACGTAGGAGAAGCTGGGTTC